TCTGTCAAAGCCTCGTGCTGCGGACTCTCTCGCGGACTCTCTCTCTCTCGCACCGTCACCTCTCATTGGCCAGTGTTTTTCGTTAATAACTCGCAAACGAAGCCGCGGATTGCATTTTCGCAAAGGAAAAAGTTACTTCAAATGACCTCAGCTACCCCTCATTTTCGGCTGTTAAAATAATTGTGGCACACCCTGTATATTACATTATAATTATATATAATTATTTATTATATATTATATTACAATTATATAAAAGAAATTATATATAATTATTCATTATATATTATATCATAATTATATATAAAAATTATATAATTAAATAAATATAATATTATTAATATAATTATTAATAAATAATATTAAATAGTCGCTACGGCAACGAAGAGCCTTTCTAACGTCATCGAACATCGCGAACACTGATGACGACCACTCCAACTGGAACTTTCATTTCCGTTGCCATAGGAACACACGATGTGAGAACGTTCTTCGACAAAGATTCTACTTCGAAATGTACCCTATTCAAAGGTTCCAAAAAACTTTTCGATCCGAGCTTTCGACGATTTCCTAGGTGTCCGTATACTTGCGGCCGAGAGTGTATGTATACATATGTTTGCATAACAGGGTGATCCGTTTAAGTGGACTTGGTGGAATATTTCGCGAGGGATCATAGTTATCGAAAATATGTTCCCACAAAAGTTGTTTGGTGTAGAGGGGGACGTTGGATGATATAAACAATATTCCTATAGGTGTAGTAGTGGGGGAGATATTGAAGTCAATTTAATATTTTTAAATGAGATCCCGTATTTTTTTAGCCATAGTGTAATAGCGCTTGCTGAGGCAAATACAATGATCTACAACACGGTATCATTCCCTGTGGTAAAAATGACGTAAATGAAACGCATATGCGGCAGATGAACGCAAGATACGTGGCTGTATCGGCGTTCATCTGCCGCATATGCGTTTCACTTACGTTATTTTTACTACATGGAATAATATCATATTACAGATCATTGTATTCGTCTCAACAAACCCTATTACATTATGGCTAAAAAAATACAGGGTCCCATTTAAAAATATTAAATCGACTTCAATATCTGCCCCACCACTACACCCACAGGAATATCGTTTATATAATCCAACGTTCCCCGTTATACCAAACAACTTTTGTAGGAACATATTTTTGATAACTTCAATCCCTCGCGAAATATTCCACCGAGTCCGCTTAAACGGTTCACCCTGTATATACAGAGAGAAAGAGAGAGAGCAAAAGGAATGCTAAAATGTAACTTCTACGTTTTAATCGCATTAGAACAGAGCACAGTGCAAAGAGAGAGAATCGCTATAATAAAAGAGCCTAAGAAAATAGATCACTACTACGGAAAATATGAGTACAGGATCCTAAGGCGCTAAGCTATTAAATGAAAAATCTAAACGTTCCAATCCGCCGAGACGGCGGATTCGAATGGCCCGCGTTCGATGATCTTTCCAATTGTCTCGCGATGCCGCGCCGTCTTCCCGTCAAACAACGAATTGCCGCGGTGAACAAATCTCCGCCGCGTTACGGAATGCCGGCCAGCGCCTCGTTACCATCGTGTCAACGCTAAACGTACCTGTTCTAAAAAAACGACTGCTATACCTTGCCTTATCAAAATTATAACATTGAATTTTAATAAATATTTCAACAATTTTTCTAACGGTGCCACGTGCCCGAATGTAGAACGTATTTAAAAATATAATTAAATTAGCCGATAGTAAAATAATGTTAAATAATGTTACAATAATAATGTTACACAAATACTTTATCAACTTATTAATAATAGAAATTTAAATTCGATGAATTTTGTTGGCTCTCGTTCTTTCGCTTTTTCCAGGAAGCCATTGCTACTCTTGTATCTCGATTAAAGAAATATTTATTGAATTCGTTGAAAGCTTACATTGACAATCCGAAAACCATTGTTTCATTCGAAACGATCTAATGCAGGGTGTCCCGAAAATGTCTCGCAATCCGGAAATGGGAGGTTCCTGAGGTCATTCGAAGCAACTTTTTTCTTTGCGAAAATATTCTCCGATGCTTCGTTTACGAGTTATTAACGAAGAACACTGACCAATAAGAGGCGAGCTCGGCTGGCGCGCGGCGGCCCAGCCAACGAGTGCACGGAGCCCAGTTCCGCTCATTGGCTCGACCGTCTCGCGCCAAATGATCTCGCCTCTGATTGGTCACGGTTTTTCGTTAATAACTCGTAAACGAAGCCTCGGATTGCATTTTCGCTAAGGAAAAGTTGCTTCAAATCACCTCAGGAATCCCCTACTCTCGGATTGCAAGACATTTTTGGGACACTCTGTATATTCGACAGTTTCCGATGGAAACGACTCTCGACCGCCTCGATATCATCGTCGAACGTAAAATGCGAAATCCCGGTCGTTCGATGGCACGTTTAGCGTTAACTTCGCTGGAATAGTTTCACCGGTTTCTTCGGCGTACATACTCGCGATTCGGTAAGCGAGCCGCCGCGCCGGCGATGGCTAAGTGAACCAACGAATTCGCGTCGAGGATCCAGATAATTCTCAAAGACGCCGGTGGCGGCGCTCGTCGCGTGGTCATACGCAACGTCCTCGGCAGAGACCGACTCCGTGCGCCGTTGGGTGTGTTGAATTTTGGAATCTCTCGAATTTTTTTCACGAAACTCTCCCCTCTGTGGTGGTGCGCGACGACGTACAGACAATAATAATTCTAATGCGATAGTCGGGGCTTGAAAACGGTTCCGATTTTCTATGCATTTCGCGATATGCAGCGTAAGTATTCGAACGCCGTTCAATCCTTCGCACTCGAAGCTGTTTCAACCAGTTAGCTGTGTTCGACGAGTATACTCGTCACGGAGAAGTGGCAGTATTTCGACGAGTATACTCGTCGCGCGTGAAAAATAACGACCATTGGCTATTTAAATTGTAATTTTAGTGAAAACAAAAACATATTCGCAAATTTCGAGGTTTTTAGAATATTTTGAGGTTAATCCTACACGAAGGGGTTTACATTGTTATAAAAATAAGATTAGAATGTCACGATATTGACTAATATAAAAATGATTATATAAAACAATAACATATTCTCAAATTTCGAGATTTTTAGAATATTTTGAGGTTAATTCTACACGAAGGGGTTTACATTGTTATAAAAATAAGATTAGAAAGTCACGATATTGACTAATATAAAAATGACTATATAAAACAAAAACATATTCTGAAATTTCGAGATTTTTAGAATATTTTGAGGTTAATCCTACACGAAGGGGTTTGCATTGCTATAAAAATAAGATTAGAAGAAATAAGATTAAAAATTCACGATATTGACGTTCGACGAGCAAAGTGCCTTGATTTGCCGAATGCCACTCTACAGCAACAATTTAAATTTTTAACTTTTATAAGTATTTGATTTTTCCTGCGTTTTTCGTTCATTATGTATGTAGTAAAAAACATAAGTAAATATTAGTAATAAAATTGTAAATTTTATAAAATAAAACCGCCTTCTTGATCCAATATTTTAACAACGACACTTGTTATTCTCGCGACACATATAGGTGAGCGCTCGGAAAAGAGGGCGCCACAGCTAATTGGTTAATTCTGAATAGAAGATAGTTTTCCTTACCCACGGAATCCCCATTCTATGCGACGCAGAGTGCATTTTGCGCACACGAAATTGAGTCTCGCGACTCGTACAACGATTTCTCAAATATAAACAAACTCGATAAGGTAAAAATTATTTCAGAACGTGATACGATAATTTTTTTATATTTACAGAGCCATCCCACTCGAGTGCAAAGGGTTAAGTTGAATCAAGAATCAAGGACACCGAAAATGTTCCAAACGATTTACGTTGTTTTTTTTCTGAGATGCCAGAGGGGCCAGCTTACGTCCAGTAAATATAAAAAATTATAATAAAAATTCTTACACAAAAATTCCAATCGTAATTTTCTCAATATGAATTTTCAAGATGGCAGCACCTTTGTTTCTGTGGGAACATTCGAACCAGGCGGTCCATATGCGCTTAAAACGTGGATGAGAAGCATGGTTTCCAGTGCCTATGAAAGGGTTAAAGTTCAAAGCCACCACCTTCAAAATTCATGGATCGGTTCTTCCTACCGCGCTTTCGCGGTTCGCAGCAAATGGGAAACCGGAGACACCTGGCTTCACCCGAAAGTGCTGCGAATTGAAAAGTCTCCGAAACCGTCGGAAAGATTTCGTTCGCGAGAACGAACGAACCGTCGATTCGAGGATCGAAGGCGCCATCTTTGCAACGATCTCTCGAAGCTCGTCGTACGACCTCTTTTGGTCGTTTTGTGAAACCGGAAACGACGAACAATTTCGGTCGGGCAGAGCCCTCGTACAATCCGATTTAGAACGATTAAAAAAAAATCGTACATCGAAGTTTAAGGGATCGTTGCAAAGAGGAGGCTTCGATCTCGAAATCCATGTTAACGCTAGATTTACGGATTCCGTCAAAATGACGGATCGTAACGATACATTTATGAGTTATTTATTGAGAGTTATTATATTTAATAGTGATATAATACATATTATATATAATGAGTTATTATATTTATTATATTATATTTTTATATATTGTATTTATTATATTATTTTTATATATTATATTATATTTTTATATTATATTTATTATATTTATATTATATTTGTTCAATTCGTATGTAATTTACGGCACAAATGTTACAATAACACTCAGAATAAAAATCAGACTAAACGTCTTATCGTTACAATTTATAAACCAATATAAAACAGCTGTTTTTCGTGCTCCGCAAATCTAGCGTTTCAAGATCGCGAGAAAAATATTGTCCAGCGCATAATATACGCGCGCTTCGACCAGCAAAATTTCTCCGAAAAGAGCGCGCGCCTCCGATTTCCCATTTTGTTCACACCGTGCAAAAACAGTACAAAATAACTTAGTACACCCGATGACTGCATATGGCCGTCTCGAGAACGTTTTCAATCCCCGACGATAGTTACGATTCGGATCAGCCGCTGATGATCGGGATCGAGCGAGCCGCGTGTGAACGAGTCGTCGTCGTACACTCGCGTACACGCGACAAGTGTCGAACAAACTATATATATATCTGTTACGTTATATCGTTACGGAATAAACGTAAATAGGGGGGGGGGGGGG